TGCGGTGGAAGTGGTCTCCAGCTACAAGTACTTGGGGGTGCACCTGAATGACAACCTCAGCTGGAGCAACAACACTTCCAGCCTGATCAAGAAAGCTCATCAGAGACTCTACTTCCTCAGATGGCTGAGACGAGCTGGTCTGAGAAGCTCAGTCCTCACCTCCTTCTACAGGTGTGCAGTGGAGAGCATCCAGTGCTCCAGCAACAACGTGTGGCATGGAGGCTGCACAGCTGCAGAAAGAAAAGCTTTGCAGAGAGTGGTGAAGGCTGTACAGAAGATGTTGGAGTCAGCCTCCCCACCATCACAGAAATCTACACCTCCAGATGCAGGAAGAGGTCCACCTGTATCATGAAGGACCCCACTCACCCAGCACACACACTTTTTGCCTCGCTCCCCTCAGGAAGGAGGCTGAGGAGCATTAAGTGTAGAACCACTAGACTGAGGAACAGCTTCTACCCTGAGGCTGTTAGACTCATAAATATTTAACCAGGATAATCACTGTTAAAAAGAAAAATCACTGTAATGCCACTCTTGTGATATGTGACTTATCCATGCTGCAGATCCCCTGCCTTTAAACTGCTGTACAGTATTCATGCCCATCTGCTCACAACAGACTTATGTTCAGGCTGCTGTTTAATATACCATATTATTTTACATTATTAGTGTTTAGCGTATATCTTAAATGCTTGTATACTGTTTCTTTTTATACTTTATATTTTTGCTATTTTTGGTTTATCTATTTTTGGAACCTTACCATACCACTTTATTTATAGAGCACTTAAAGCAGTTACAAGGCCAACCAAAGTGCTGTACAGACAGAACAACAGGTAACACACAAAGCAAAATACAAAATGAAGTAAATCAGAATATAGACATAAAAACGATGCAGATAATGACGACTAACCAGTGTGGAGCATACAGGATCAAAACACAGATCGTCTTGTGTTGAAAGCTACTGAATAGTAGTGAGTTTTTAAACAGGACTTGAAAACCGAGAGGGAGGGGGCCTGTCTGACAAGCAGAGGTAACTCGTTCCAAAGTCTTGGTCCTGCTACAGAGAAGGCCCTGTCACCTCTGCGCTTAAGACGAGTTCCTGAAACTGTGAGGAACAACTGGTCCGCTGACCTCAGGGAACGTGGTGGGACATACGGTTGTAGCAGATCAGAGAGATTGGGGGGGTCGACACTGTTCAGTGATTTGTAGACATACATGAGTATTTTGAACTGGATTCGAAAGTGAACCGGTAACCAGTGCAGTGAGGCCAAAACTGGTGTAATGTGCTCTCTTTTGCCTGTACTGGTTAAAAATCGGGCTGCTGCATTCTGGACCAGTTGTAGTCGTACAATGGAGGTTTGACTGATACCAAACAGGAGTGATGTGCAGTAATCAAGCCTAGATGTAATGAATGCATGTATTACTGTCTCCAGGTTCTTTTTGGACAATATGGGCTTCAGTTTAGACAGCAGCCTCAGTTGGAAGAAGCATGATTTAACAATCATGTTTACATAATTGTTAAGTTTCAGGGAAGGGTCCATTATCACGCCCAGATTAGTGACTCTTTGTTTTTCTGAAAAAAACAACCTTGAGTCCACAATTTTGTTGCACCTCATATACCTAATGTGATGTGAATGACAATAAAGAACCTTGAAGCCATTACTGAAATTTAGTGCACTGGAAATGCAAATATCAACAAAACAAGTTCTAAATTGTATTTTGAAATAAAACCTTTGATTCTACAATGTTTCAGGATAGTAATAATGTGATTTTGTTATTGATTTAATATGGCTTTTGTCATTTAAATCAGCATCCTAAGTGAATTAACTGTTTCTCAAAAAACTTTTCCATTTTTAGGACTATTTTTTAATTAGCCATCATTTTGAGTTTTTCTGCATTTTACGCAAAAAAAAAAAAAAAAAACTTTGTTTTGTCCTTATTTAGAAGGACATCCACTTATTTATTTTATACCTTGTTCCAGTATGTTTAATGCACTACTATCATTTGATGACATTGTAATATATATCTGAGTGTCATCTGCACACTGCACACAAAGACTTTGGTTATTGGAAATAAATAGATTGAATAAAAGGTCTAAGAACTGACCCTTACGTTACATCACATGTTGATGAAAAGTGCTATGAGGTGCAATTGCCAAATGATACAAAATTATTTCTGTTATGAAGATATAATTTAAACCAGAGAGCCAATAACACAAGTGGAACACGGATGATCCCCGCCGCTGAAGGATTTAGAAAGTGAATGTTTGTAGTTTGAGAGATGAGTGTTTTTCTGGACTGGAATTGAACAGGGAATGCAAATAAACCTGAATGTTTTTGGTGCAATATATTTAAGTGGGTAGTAGTTTAACTGTGGAGAAGAACAGAGGGAGGTTTTCTTTCATCTTGTCTGAATCAATGCAGAGTGACGGATCCTGGTGAGTGGAGAGAGCAATTTTATCCACCAACAGGTGCAATGACAGAGACGGGGGTGGCCTTGGCCACCATAGATTAATCTACAGCCACCCCAATCATTTGAGGAAACTATATTTTAAGCAATATAAAAACTAGAAAGCAGTTTCCACAAGAAGCAGTTGTTAAATGTGTGGTCTTTGATTTATACAAATGTCTACTGAAACTTGTCAGTGTGAACTGCAAGGATTTCAAAATCTTTAAAGTAGCAATATTTTCATTTGGGCATTGAACTGACTTCCATTAATTCATGAAGTCACCTGCTCCCCAACATCCAAGTTAACCTTGAAACCTTAATCATAACTTAATCTAAACTTAACCTCAGATTCCTGACTTTAGTCATATCCCTGCAGTACAGAAATACTGAATGAGTTTAATCTAACCTTAACCAAAGACATAATTCTAAGGCTGTAGGTGGGAGAAGTGCATTTCATGTGCAACAACCACTGCATGGCCTTTGATTCCTTATCCAGTCTGTTGAGAAGGTAGATGGAGCAGGGCAAAGTCCTCAAGGCCATTTAACCTAGTCCTATCCCTAAAACGGACATGCCACTGAATTATAACAGACCTTTGTAGCCCATAAGTGGTAAATGGACTGTACTTATGTAGCGTCTTTCTAATTAAGATACTCAAAGCGCTTTACAGCACAATCTGTGCCCTCATTTACCTCCACACACGTTAATACAGAACTCTCTCTACAAAGCTAATCTGAAGAGATTAATCAGTGCTTTTAGATCACATTCATACACCGATGGGACACACATTGGAGGCAATGAGGGGTTCAGTGTCTTGCCCAGGGAGACTTCAACATGTGGAATTGAACCCCCAACTCTCCCATTAGAGGACGACTGCTCTAACCACTCAGCCACAGCTGCCCATAAGTGTCCATAGGAGCACTGGTCCTGACAAGTTGGGTGAATATACAAGAGGTGGTTCTAGAGGCAACCAAACCAGTGGCACTCACACATTGGCTTTTCACCAATAACAGTTCGATGAAAAAGTTTTTTCTTTGAGCCATCATCATTCTTTAAGATTTTTTACACTTTTACTTATTTAAGTTACACATCTGTTCTGGTTCTGCACTTTAGGCCAGGAATAGACTTTTTACCTGTAACAAAAGACCAAACACCCACACCCACACACACTTTTCATTCTGTTCAGAATGTCTGTTCGGGGTTTAGGATGTAGGTTTTTTTGGTTTGTTTTTTAAGTTTATAAGCATTTTTCTATGAAACAAACGTATTTTGATTGTTTCTTTTCCCAGGTTGCATCAGGAAGAACATCTGGTGTAAAACAATTGTTAAATATTTTATATGAGTTCACTAGCTTAAAGTGATCCCTAAAAAATGGAGCAGCTGAAAGAAAAACAAAAAACAAGAAAAACGTTTCTTTATTAAAATCATTACAGATGCACTTCTGGGTGGCACGTTGGATCAGTTGGTTGCGCTGTTGCTTCTCAGCGAGAAGGTTGTCAGTTCAATTCCCTGCCTGGGACCTTTCTGGGTGGAGTTTGCAGTGTTTCCTCTACCATTATACATGCAGGGCGCCCCGCCCCATCAACAGAACCAAGTGCCCTGCCTCCTGAAAAACACCCTCCCCCCTGTCAACAACTACCAGCATTGACGTAGCGCTAAGCTAACAGCGCGCAATACACGCTAGCTAAAAAGCTATAACTATGGCGGTAGCACTCTGTTGACCTCATGCTGAGCCATCTCCAACACCCACCCCCCTGCTCGAAAACTGATGGTACAAACAGCACACAGGCGTGTCACATGTCCCCGTCACCCACACCCCCTGACAAAAATCACAGAAGATATGAGTGCCCTGCCAAGGCAAGTAAACTAGGGGAAATGTTGATGTTCTCTCCGTGCATGTGTTTTTTTTTTTTCTCCATGTACTCCAGTTTCCTTCCACAGACCAAAAACATGCATGTTAGTCTGATTGGTAACTGTAAATTGTCCCTAGGTGTGAGCGAGAGAATGAATGGTTGTTTGTCTTGTCTTTATGTGGCCCTGTGATGTCCAGGGTGTCCCCCGCCTTTCACACAGTGACTGCTGGATATGGGCACCAGTGACCCCCACAATTCAGAAAGGAAGACGCAGGTAAAAGATAATAGTTGGATGTTGTACTTCTATCACTAGTATCACTAGTGGAATGTTGTGAAACCAAATGCAACAAAGAACTATTTCCTGAAATGAGTTTCAGCTAAGCTGAATCACATTTGTGAAAGGCTTAGGTTTGATGTAGAATGACGTATAAACATAATTTCTGTAGAAACCTTCTCCCCCATATTCTATATTTAGTTCACAAACAGAAAATGGCCAAAACTACAAGTCACAGACATCAAGATGCCAGACAGTGAAACAAACAGTCATATCTCTCAGGCTTCTTCTGTAGACATGAACACAGTGGTATAAATGTTCAGCTACAAGGACTGAGGTAATGTTTGAAATAATTCATTTAATTGTATTATATTCTAAAATATGACACATTTTCACTTCCTCTTTCAAACACAGATACACACAAACTTAGATATTACAAAAATGCAGCTTTACAAGGGTAGGTGTCAAAAAAGTGAGGTTTACAAAGTAGAGCCATTTTTACAGCTGTACAGTACAGTCTTTCAAAGAGTCTAGAGGCCCCCTGCTTCACCTGGGGGTGTGTCGCTGCTGTCCACAAATCGTAAATGTCTTCTACATGGCCGTGTGATGTCATCATCTGCCTGTAGATACATGGGTGGTAAATTGCCTTGCCCTCCCCTGAGAAATAGACATGCTCCTGTGGTGACACACTCACAGCATTGGCACAGATGCCCATGAAAACATCATCTATGTAAAGAGAAGCATTCAGAGTCAGCGTGGCATGGTAGATTTTATCTGCCACATCACTGGAGACAACATAGCCAGCCCCAGAAGTGTAGTCGGGGTAGGACAACCATTGGTACATCTCATAGGGAACGTAATACTTGCTGTCCTTGTTGCGGACAGGCGGTGCCCCCTTGTGCACTCGACCAATCCACAAGTTTGTAATGCCCCTGTGGCTCGTGTCCTGTAGGTACCTCACCAGATTGGGCGTGTGGACAAAGACATCATCGTCAGCGGTCATGAAGAAATGGGCGTGAGAGCAATGACTGTGCATCCAGTGGAACTGCATGATCAGCTTCAGGGTCAGGTTGTGGAAAGAGTCCAAAAAATCTTTCTGAATCAAATCTCCATGGAGGTCATTCTCCTGGATGAGCTGTTCTTGAAAGTCCGCTCCACTTCTGCTGTTCCAAGAAGGCTCACTTGTCTTACGCTGGATGGCTCCCAAGGCAAACACCACTTTAACTGTCACCCCTAGGGTGTTTTGGATGTAAGTCTCATTACCCCAGGTGGATCTGATAGCGTTTCGCCTCTTGGTATTCTCTGGAGATGATTTGACAAAGACAAGAAGAAGGACGTCCTTACCAGTGCACTTGTCAGGGTGGTCCAATAGGTAGGGAAAGTTGCTGAAACTTCTGGCCTGCTTATGTGGGATGGTGAGGCTCCTGTTGATGTAAGTAAACCGGTTGACCAGGTAGCGGAAAGAATAAGACTTGACATGGCTGACAACAACTGAGTCCAGCTGCTCCCAGCAGACCATCGCCACCGACAGCAACAGGCAGGTAGTCATCAGCTGCACCAACTTGCATTTTCGAATTCGCCGAAAATTTACAAACATCCTGGAACCTGGTCACCCCGCAGTGGGCCTTGTCTGCCTGGAGGTGTTGGTCCGGGTATGCCAGTGAGTTCAGAGAAGGGGAGATAAAAGAGGCTGAGAGTGGTGTCACAGTGGCTCAGAGCAGCACTTGCTGGGTCTTCCATCCTTGGCTGCCAGCATTCAGCCAAAGGTGGTAGTGGGAATCATTGGGCCAGTAGGGAAAAGTCCTCCATCACAGCAGTCACCCAGCAACTGGAGCCTCAACTCTGACATGTGAGCCTCATGGTTCTGTAAAGAGAGAACAATTGTATTTATCTGAGTTTACTTCAAATAAAACAGAAAAGTGATAGCAGATTTTAAAAATAAAAACTACTTTGCCTCGATTTTTAGAACAATAGTTGCTATATTTAAAATCAAAATGATACAAATTAATGATTAAACAAATTATGTTGCTATTTGTGGAATAAACGGCAGCTTTGTAAAGCCAAAATACATTTATAATATTAAAACGTTCAACAATGAACCATCTAGAATTAAGAAAGGCCAGGCAGAAGGACATTAATGACTTTACTAGTATGTTCTTTCGATCGTTTCTTAAAATATACCATGAATTACTGGACATATTTTAATGAAACTGTTATAAAATAATTATAAAATGTACATTTATGAGTAATTGCCAATTGGAGCACACCCAATTCAAGATAACGTTACGTAAAGTTTACCCAAAGCCGCGCCAGCTCCATCATTTATCAACATATGACCTTTGACAAAATTCTGGCATGAAAGGGAGACAAGGACTCGTTCAAACAATACTAGGCCTTTAATTATTTGTGTATTTAAATCAAGTTCTCCCAGTGAAACAGGTGAACACTCAAAAGAGTAGAACTCGATCGTTCAGTTTCCCACTCTTGTGGTTGCAGCAGAACTTTTTTGCAGACTACACCCACTTGCCACATTAACAGATCAGTCATGTTGGGTGAAAAAGCACAGCATGGTAGGGGGGCGGGGGGGGGATTGGGGAGTGGGGGCATTGAATGCAAAAGCCAACACAGCAAATGTTGCACTGCCAGCTTGTCCATAATAAAGGGGTTTAAGATGTGGGCCCAGTAAAAATTGCTGAGCGACACGGAACGCATTCGGACACAATGAAGAGCGTGAGAGTAGCACAATGCAGGATGAGAATAGCTCACTTCCGTCTGGGCCTGGAGAGGGGATCATGGCAGGTCCGGGGCTCAGGGCCTGGGACTCCCACAGCAAACGGGGAGCTTTTTTAAACATATCTGGTTGCCCTGAGCCTAATGAGGTCGCTGATTCAGAATGAGCATCCTCTTTCACATTCCTGCCTTCCTGACATCAAACTCGTCTCTGAAGACTCAGCATCCATTTGATAAAAGGGTTTTCATTTTACTGTCACGAAAAAAGAGTTGAAACAGGTCATATGGACAGATTTGTAACCTGTTTTAACTCTTTTTTTATGATTTATTTACCTGGATGTTTGAGCTTGCATCAGGACAGTTTTATTGTTGTTTAAAGCACACGGACCTGCTGACCCATGCAAAACAGAGATGGGCTTGCCAACTTTACATGCATGACAAACGCAACTGCTTAGCCAGGTTTTTACCACCACTCAAATCCAAGCATGTGCTAACAGCCACGATCGAAGGCTGTGAGGTTTTAGATAGCCGCAGAAATAGCAGGATTTGGGAAAAATTACACAGCTTCGATTATATGGTTAGAGAAGTTGCAGGTAAGACTATAGCTCAATAATATTTTGCTTTAGTTTTACTTCCTCGTTGACAGTTATTGATTTACAAAGCAAACTGGCCTATAAAAAAGTAGTGTGGTGATTTCAAATAAAAATACGAGGATATATGTTTGAGTGAAGAATATCAGTAAAATAATGAACAGACTAAAGATCGAGGTGAGCACAGCTGTAGTCAAACTGGGGAACAGTGTGACTGCTCAGATGTAATACATTTGAGCAGACATCATCAACTT